TTTTTTTTTTTTTTTTTTTTTTTTTTTTTTTTTTTTTTTTTTTTTTTTTAACAGTGAACTCTGCTGTCACTTACTGTCTATTTTTACGTCTCAAAAAATATATATATATATCTGCACATCTTCAGTCATCCTATTCTTCCAGAAGAGTGGTGGAGCTACTCCTACCTGCCCGACAGCCTAAATCTATTTACCCTGAGCATGTTTCCTTGACAAGAAATTCATCTTTTCCTTTGCAACTAAAGGAATCCTCTAGGCTCGCACACGCTTTTCACACCGAGGGGAGGGGGGAGATGGGAGGGGGGGAAATTCAATTGTTGGTTTTTTTGTTGGTCAGATTGTTTGGGGTTTTTTTTTGGGGGGGACGGTGTTGGAAAGCATGTTTTGGAGGGAGATTTCAGCAACGCGATCGTTTAGTGCAAAAAAAACCACTACAAATACAAATACAAAACCCCCAAAACAAACTGAAAAAAAAAACCAAAACAAAACCAAAAAAAAACCAAAAAAGAAACCCAAAAAACCACAAGGATTTTAAACGGATCTGCAGCCACTTCCAAAGGGGAAGGGAGGGGAGGGGGAGGGAATTCCTTCCCTGGGCCACCAAGAGCTTGGGAAGCTTTTTAAGATTAAAAAAAAAAAAAAAACCGACTCTCCCCTCCTCGGGCAGAAAATCCCCGCTGGCAATAAAGGAGGAGGAAAGTCCGTGCTGTGCCTGTGCCGGGGCTGAGAAATAAAAAAAAAACATCTGCAGCCTCCCCAGCTCAGCTCTCCAGAAAGAATTCCCTGGGAAGCTGCTGCTGCTTCACTGGGAGGGACTGGGAGGGACTGGGAGGGGCTCGCTCAGTCCTGAGCGTGGAGCTGGAAAGGATCGTTTTTCCCACAGGGCTCTAAAAGTACCTACATTATCTTAATTTTTTTAAATTTTCTTTTATAAATCCCAGCCCAGGGGCTGCCTGAAATCCCGGGATCTCCTCCCCCCCATCGGCAAACTCTCTCCGTGTTTCCCCCCGCAGGGTCCTAGAAGGGATTATTATTTTTTAATTATTTTTTAGGCACCGTTTGCCACCAATTACTTGCTGCTGGGTCGTGAATTATGACCTTTTATCTCCCCTTTTTCACCAGCTGACTCGAGGTGGGTGGGGATGAAGGGAAGGTTTGGAATCCTCTCTTCCCCACCCTCCACCATCCCAAACTGGTTGTGCCCTGGGACAGAATCCATCAGCCAGGAATCCCAGGATTGAAAAGGTTTTCCTCACCTTGGGAAACACATAGGGGGGATCAAATAAAACCCAAATCCAAGCAGAGTTTCCCCAGCTCTTTGGAATCCGGTGGCAAAAGCAGCAGCGGGAGTTTGGATTTGAGAGGCGAGTCCCGGGCATTGTGACCTTCCAGCTCCCCCCAAAAAAAAAAACCCCCGAGGAATTTCGGTGCCTGAAAACAGAACAGCTGCTTCCCTGCAGGCCGGTGCCACCTTCCCCGTGTTCCCCCTCTCGTGCCGGCGCAGAATTCCAGCCCAGCTCGCCCTGGAAACGGGGCTGGAACAGAAACCCCGCGGGCAGGAAAACCAACAAGAAACCAGAGGTTAAACAGCAGAACCCAGAAATTGTGGGAAGGGGAAGGGGAAGGGAAGGGAAAAAGGGGGGGAGAAGCCTAATAAAGACAGGCCAGTCTTGGTGAAAACCAGCAGAGACAGCTCGGCACGAACACGACTTCCATAGTGACAGATAATTGTATTAAAACCTGCAGCTTGATACTGGCAGTCCTACTAATTTCAGTTTTTATTAGGCATGCAATAGCGTGATTACACTGTTATATATATCTGTGGTACCTCTTT